TATTTTATAATGAAGTATGTCTTGAATACGTTATGGATTTTCCTCGAGTATCGCCCATTACATTACACATGTCATTTTCCCTTCAAAAATATTCCTAAATCGATTTTATTGTCTACAAATAGAATTATCTCTCCCACTAAACTCACTCAATGCCACCTTGAACATAACCTAACAGGTTTCCAGCTATCTGATTATGTATTGATATTTCCTCACCTATATCAAAATTCCAAGTTTCATATAAATTCATAACCATTCTGGAAGATAAAATTGGTTCGAGATTTTATATATCGCACGAAATTATAGCCGGCAAATTTTCCTCAAGTTTTGATGGACGGTTCAGACATAAACTCGCTTGGAGCGTAGAGAAAACTGTTTATGTTCATTTTATATCATCACTATAAATGGTTTAAACGATAACAATATTTTTTTCAACGACGGTTTCCGACCAAAGTCGATTGGCGCTTATGAAAATTGATATAATTATCACTTACAATTTAGTGAAACGTATATACAGGGCGGCAACAAAAAAGTGCGACGTTAAAAATAATACAAAGTTAGTCCAAATTTGAAAAAAAACATATTCAACATATAGTTACTTTGCCTAGTTTGCCACGCCATAATCAGTATAGAATTGAGAATATTGCATATGGATGTTGGATTAAGAAAAAAACTTTTGTCTGATTTCGGTCGTAACAAATAAAAAACTTTGTACAAATCTGACAAAAGTTTTTTTTTGTTTGAAAGTGGTTGACAATTTCATTAGTTCGGATTTGCATTGTCTAATCTACTATATAAAAATGGATGTTTGTTGGTTGGTTGGTAAGTACATGTAAGTTGGTACATGTATAAGATTTTTCATAGAGAAGGTTTTTAGGCTATCAGTTTTTCTGTAACTCGTCACTAGATGGCACTGTAGAACAATTTTTTGAAAGCACTTTTCTAAAACGCTGTGCACGCCTAAGTTCGTTGATTCTGTCAAAACATTGGAACGGCAGCGATACAGCAACATAGTACTAGTATGATATTAATTGATTTGACACTAAATGGTCAACATCTGTATATCGAAAACACACTCACACAGGACAGTATCTGAACCAGGAATCCAACCACCATCAATCGACTAAGAGAGGAATCATCAAGACTCTACTAGACCGTGCTTTTGGGCTCTGTAATACAAAGGAAGGTCTCGAAAATGAACTAGGCATCATCAAAAATCACCTTCAACGGAATGGTTACTCTAGAGTGATGCAAGAACAGCTAGAAGACAGCTCCACAAGGAAGAAAGGCCGCCACAACCAGTACTTGTAGTTCCCTACATAAGAGGATTGTCAGAACCTTTTTCAGATCTGGGAACACTATCCGTAGCAGCCTCACGAAAACCAGGCCACCAAACGCGGACTGCGATTCCAAGAAATGCATTTACCGGATACCCTGCAAGTGCGGAGAATCATACATCGGTGAAACTAAGAAGCCATTGAAGGTTCGCACTGCCAAGCACAAGAAACACATACAGCGAGGAGAAATCAGCAAATCGGGAATAGCAGAGCATGTTTAGACTCATGAACATAACATAGTGGGCTCAAACTGAAATCATCCACAAGGAGGAACACTGGTTTAAGAGAAAATTCAAGGAAGCCGCATATATGTTGTCCAAAAACGCATTTAGACAAGCTAGTGTAGAGATACGCAACATATGGAAACCTCTAATCAAGCGGAACACGACTAACTCTCGCCAAACGGTCAGCTTTCGCTATAACCGATGTAGCGGAGAGAGGGAATAGGGGATAGATGAAAGCACTCGAACGACCTATAAATGGTCAGATTTCTGAGGAATAAGTTCAGTTATCACCCGAAGACGATTGTGGATACTAACAATCGAAACTTCGTGAAGTAACTTTGTTTGGAACATTTGCCAAAGTTCGTGAAGAATTTGAAAATAGGCTGTATTATTGTTTACAAAACAACGAAACCCACTTTGAACATTTACTTAATTGACATTTTTAATAAATTTGTAGTTCTACAAAAACCTCAATAAATATTCCATTTGAGCCAAAGTTTCACAATTATTGCTTCACCCTGTACAATGATTATTTATACCATTGGATAGCATTTTTTATAGTATTTTCAATGATGTACCACAAGTAGGGGTTTGCAATTTAAACTTTTTGTGTTTTGGTGGGTGGAGCCTAGGGGGTTGATGGGGGTAAGTTCTCTTTCATGTCACTTTAGTTCCTTATTACTATCCTAGAAACGGTTTCAAGCATTTTTCGATATCAGCTTTCGTTCATGAGATATAGCCCCATTGTAAGTTTTAAAATTGACACACTGTATACAAAAGAGGCATCTTGCAATAAAACTTTTCTATTCCGGACATTAAATCGTGTCTTTTTTGACTATACTCTAAGAAAGCCAATTGCCAACAACACAAGTATACACAGAGTGTTCAAAAATCTCAAACTTACCGTCTAATTCTAGCACTTTACATTGCCGTCTGAGATGTCTTATTTCCATAGTTAATTGTTTCTCCATTTCTATGTCAGCCAGCTTTTCGAGTCTATTCTTCTCTAAATCGGCAACTTCTTGCTTCATTATAACTAATTTGGCTTTTTCAGTATTCAGTTCTATTCGCAACCGTTCTATACGTGCTTCTTGTTTTAATATCACAGGCGCTGAAAATAGAACAGTAAAAAAATTAATGATCTGGCGTGTACTTTGTAAACGTTTCATTGATTCAAAAAATAAATGTATGTTCAACAAAAGAAAATTTGTATAAACCGGATGAGCAAAAAAAATAAACGGGAAAAAAGTATAAGTAACGTATTTTCGAGTAATCGAAAGGAAATTTTCGAAATAAGAATGTGAAGATAGTTGAATTTTACGGCTTCTCCATTTTGATACAAAAAAATGTGGAAAACTTACAAAGTTAAGAAGAAGGCAACTGATTTCAAAGTGAACTCTTCACAAAGACGTGTGTATCATGCAAACAAGTTACTTTCAGACAAACTGGAAAAGAAACCCCTCTCGAAACAACTACTTCCATAAAAACATTGAATTACACAAGAAACACTATTTCCTATTCGGTTAGTACTCCATACATTCGTTATAGAATTGAACCAGGTATTCAGGAAACTGCTATTGTCAATTGAAAACGAATTATTTACGCAAAATGAGGGACTACCAATGGGATGGTTAAAAGACAGCAAGAATTTCGTAAGAAAGAGAAGTCGTCACAAACATTGCTTGCAGTTTCCTACATCAGAGGATTGTCTTAAAGGACAAGAAGAATTGGGTCCAGGTACCTGCTTCAGATCCAGCAACACTATCCGTAGCAGCCTCACGAAAACCAGGCCACCAAACGCGGACTGCGATTCCAAGAATTGCATTTACCTGATACCCTGTGAGTGCGGAAAATCCTATATTGGTGAAACTAAGAGGCCATTGAAAGTCCGTAGCCGGGCACAAGAAACACACACAGCGAGAGGAAACCAGCAAGTCAGGAATAGCAGAATATGTTTGGTCCCTCCAAGCTGAGATCATCCACAGGGAGGAACACTGGTTTAGGAGAAAATTCAAAGAAGCTACATACGTTGTCCAACGACGCATTCAGCCAAGCTAGCAACATATGGAAACCTATAATAAATCGGAAAACGGACAACTCCCGCTAAGAACTTAAATGACCTATAAATAGTCATCTCTCGGAGGAATACGTTCAGTCATCACCCGAAGACGACTGTGGATACGCGTGTTTCGCTATACAATAACTTCTTCAGGTGTATCTATACTGTCTATCTCACAATAAAGTATTAAAAACACAAACTTTATTGTGAGATTTCCTCTTGAAACCGCGACACGTATTTCGCTATACGATAGCATCTTTGGGCGTCACAATACTGAGTATTGTAACTCTACAGGAATGTAGGCTTTCACAGCAGGCATCAATGTTTTGATTCATTTCTGGGTTTTGCCGTGGTCTTCTTTGGTTATAATCTCCAAACGTTTCGACTGCAACTGCGGCAGTCATCTTCAGTGGCGCGGTAGAAGTACTCTTCTAGACGTACAGCTTGTCAAATGTAGGAAGAGCTTTCTGAATTCCGTTGAGGCCCCGCCCAGTAGATGTGCGTTCGTTAGATACTACGAGAGCGAGAGAGATAGACAGATAGAGGTAGAGAGAAAGAGAGAGAGGTAGAGAGAAAAAGAGAGAGAGAGCGAGGTAGAGAGAGAGAGAATTCTCAAGCTGTACTCTTCTGGACGCAAGTTTTAGTTGATACGTCAATCAATCAATCATGCTTTATTGTCCAAGAAATCCTTATTGAAAAAGCTAGTCAACAAAGCTTTAGAAAGTCAACAATGTTAAAGTTTTTAAAAAAAATAAAATTATGATATACAATGAACAATCATTATAGGGTTTAAAAATGTACATATACGAATACACATAAATAAAACAATATATAAACCATTACTGATAATGAATAAATAAATCATTACAGATATGTAAGCATCTGAAATACTAAGAGTTAAAATACATCATTGTAATATTCCTTTAAGTCATAGTAGGTTTTTTGCAGGAGTACTCCTTTAACTAATTTTCTGAATTTTTTAAAATTTGTTTTTGGCCTATAGCACATTGGAAGGTGGTTGTATATTTTCTTGCTCTCATTTATTAAAGAAAATTTTGTAATTGCTGATTTTGGAATTGGCAAGGGTAAATTCCGACTTCCTTTCGTGTGGTAACGTCTGTCATTATTTCCTGCTGAGTTGGAGTATTTTTTGTGAAATAGACAAACGGGTTCTGAAAGGAACAAAGTACGCCAAGACTTTTCTGACTGATGACAAGTGGTTTGCAATTGTCTTGTAATTTTGCCTTACATATGTATCTGACAGCCCTTTTTTGTAGAACGAATACTGAATTTAGTAGTTGTGACTACAAAAGTTGCCAAAAGGCAATTCCATATCTCAAGTGCGACTCTATCAAGGAAAAATACACAGTTCTGACTGAGAATTGATTGAGTTCGTTAGAAACAACTCGAACTGCATAGCAGAATCATGCAATTTTTTTGCATAAATTTGTTGCATTGTGTAAGTTTTGTTAACTAACTATAGCGTGATTTTCTATAAGTAAGTCGTCAAAATTGAGTTTCAAACAATGTATGTTTGTTTTATTTGTGTTAAAACATAACGAGTTTGAATCGCACCACTGTTTACCCCTATAGAGATCCAGAGTTATGATGTCTCTGAGATTATCTTCATTTGTCCCACGCCAAAGGATGGTGGTGTCATCTGCAAAAAATGTGAACTTCCCTTTAATGTCAATGGTTGCCAGATCATTCAGATAAATCAGAAAATGGATAGGACCCAGAAGTGAACCTTGTGGCACACCTGATGCATTATTCTCAATATGTGATTTATTTCCTTGGAGTTTTACTAGTTGCTTCCTGCCTGTTAGATAACTGTAAAGCCAATTATATGAGAATCCTCTAAAGCCATAACACTGAAGTTTAAATAATAGGGTTTCGTAGTTCAAGTAGTCGAACGCCTTTGAGAAATCACAGAACACTGCTTCAATAGATTCGTTATTATTTAAGCCAATACAGGGTGTCCCTGGACTTCCAATCAAATGATTGAATAATCGAAAAACCGTTGTAAAATGGAAAGCGTCTCTAGGATTAGGATATTTCTAGCCCCTTCCTGTTATATGTTGAGGACTTGATGAATACCTTTATATCGATGAAGAAATCGCTCAATAATCAGAAATGGTGGTCTGAAAAGTTTCCGACCTAACATTTTTTCACACTACACACTTCTCCCAGCAATGCTTCCATATTTGTAACCAAATAATACTCGGAGTTTTTCTTTGCAAAATAATTGTTCACTAAGGTAATTGACTCTTCGTTTGACGAAAATCTCTGTTCTTCATATGCAATTTTTAGATGAAGGAACAAAAAGAAGTCGCTTGGGGCTAGATCTGGTGAGTAAGGCGGATGGTCAAGCAGTTCAAACCGTAATTCGTGGATTTTCGCCATAGCAACCGCTGAGGTGTGAGACGATGCGTCGTCTTGGTGAAACAAGATTTTGTTTTTCTGCAGATGTGGCCGTTTTCCCGCAAGTTCTGCCTTAAGCTTGTCAAGTAATGATGCGTAGTATGTTCCTGTAATGGTTTTACTTTTTTGAAGATAATCTATGAAAATAACTCCATTACTATCCCAAAAAACAGTTGCCATCACTTTCCCAGCTAGAAAAAAGTTTCAGCTTTTTTGGAACAACGAAATTCACTAGCTTTTATTTACGACTGCTGCTATCTTCATGTTGTTGAGGTCGGAAACTTTTTAGACCGTCCACAAAGAAGGTACGCGGACGCCATTGTTAGAGATGGAACTCAGTTTATGTTGTGAATGTCCGCCGTTTTATAAAGTGCAAGCATAAATAAAAAGTAGTGTTAATGAAAATTGTTTAAGTGTTTTTATGAATAGTGCTCCCGTTCATGCCGGTTGGAGGCCAGATGGACCGGATGTCCACGTGGGAGTAGGATCACAACAAATAAAATAAGAAAACGATAATTTTATATGTTTGTATATGTCCACCGCAGAAAGACGTGCCTATCAAAAATTAATAATTTGGGAAGAATAAAAATGGGGTGCAGTACTGCGTAAAGCAAGACTATTGCACTCCCCGGACAAAGTTTTTATTNTTATGACCAAAACAGCAAATCATTTCATAAAACGCGGCAAAATTTAAAATTTTAACACGTCTTCTTCTTATAATTATATGTCAAATATCAGTATTGCCAATCATGAAACTTCTGAGACATCTACAACCATTTTTACATGAAATATAAAAATGCACACTGTTTATGAAAACAATAATGTATTTGCGTAGTATAAAAGAATTGAAACCGTAAAACCTTGTCAAAAAACGACATAAACTACAAACTGTCAAACGATAGTTGTACGCAATCTAAGAAAATACTGATGTCTCAAGTTCGTTTAGCTGTCTCTCTTTCTATGTTTATTGAACGTTGCTTTCCACTCGAGCACATTTGTCCATCCCCCTCCTATCAAAGTTGACAGGAGCTTCGTCGGTGGGGGGACGCAGCCGAGCCGAGCCGCAGTCGAGGCAATGCTGTCACTCCTTTTTTGTCGAACTTTTTCATTATAAAAACACCTTCAGCTCGAGAGACATTTTGATTCTCTCCACATTTTCGTATAATTAATGCAATCCTATTCCTAAGTGGGTATCCGGTCCACCCCGGCCTCTAACCGGCATGGATGGGGGTAGGGGTTATGTAAATCCACTTTAGGACTCCCAGGTGGACATCCGGTTCACCCCGGACTCTAACCGGCGTTATGACGGCCGACAGTTACAAAACAAACTGAGTTCCATCTCCTTTGTCCGCGTATCTCCGTTTGTGGACGGTCGTTATCGAGACGTCCGTCCACCACCATATCAGAAACGAAACTCTCTCGTTTAGCTATCTCTTTTCGATGTACCTACCGATTTCATCCAAACAAGAGCTCTCGCTGATTAAAGAAAGAGATGCTATATAAAAGTATGTTTTTCGCGTATTTTATTCATGACGCTTGTGTCTTTCTTTAATCGGGCGAATTTGGACAGCCTCCTCCTGTCAATACTTGACAGGAGTTCGTCGAAGGCGCATGGCCTTTTTTCTGTGATTTTGTCTCCACAGGAGTCCATCGGATTTTTACACATACGTGTCCCCTTTTACGTGGTTATGTGAACTACCCCGGCTTAGATCCCTGGTGAATAAAGGGGGCCCTAACTCCACATTTTGTACAGTGGACAATCACAAAACATATAGAATTCCCGCAATAGCACATGGCCTCCACGTACCTTCTTTGTGTATGGAAGTTATCGGCACGTCCGTCCTCTACTACGGCCACCAGGGAACTCAACGCATATGTAATGCGGCGTTGATTTTTTCAGCAATGCAGCTAGGATATACCAAGTCTTTCAACATGTCGAAAGAGCTCCTTGCCAATATAAGCCACTGCAGCAAGGTGCATAGAATATCCCTGCAGTGATCACTCGGACTCCTTCCCCACGTAAAATATTCTGTCAAAAACACTCGACTCACCGCACTCTTTCATCTCCAACAATAGCGTCCGCGTACCTCTTTTGTGGACGGCCGTTATCGACACGTCCGTCCACCACCATATCAGAAACGAAACTCTCGTTTAGCTATCTCTTTTCGATGTACCTACCGAGTTCATCCAAACAAGAGCTCTCGCTTATTAAAGAAAGGGATGCTATATAAAAGTATGTTTTCCGCGTATTTTATTCATGACGCTTGTGTCTCTCTTTAATCGGGCGAATTTGGACAGCCTCCTCCTGTCAATATTTGACAGGAGTTCGTCGAAGGGCGCATGGCCTTTTTTCTGTGATTTTGTCTCCACAGGAATCCATCGGATTTTTATACATACGTGGCCCCTTTTACGTGGTTATGTGAACTACCCCGGCTTAGATCCCTGGTGAATAAAGGTGGCCCTGACTTCACATTTTGTACAGTGGACAATCACAAAACATATAGAATTCCCGCAACAGCACATGGCCTCCACGTACCTTCTTTGTGTATGGAAATGTTATGGAAGGACTAGGATATGTCTTTCAACATGTCAAAAGAGCTCCTTGCCAATATAACTGTGATATCCCCTCAGATTCACTGCAGCAAGATGCATAGAATATCCCTGTAGTGATCACTCGGACTCCTTCCCCACGTAAAATATTCTGTCAAAAACACTCGACTCACCGCACTCTTATTGAAGAAATAATAGAGAGATCAAATAACTTTCAGCATTTCATTCACAGAGGTGGTGAGTACAACTAAAGTGACGCAACCTGACAATGTCAAGTTGTCACTTCGGATTTCAATGTTGTTTACAACTGGAAATGAATTGATATTAGTTGAAAGATTTTTCTCACATTATGGTCCATAAATTGAATGATCTGAATGAAATAGCGCGACTAATTTCGATACTTGCACCATCTATCAATATGTCTCTAAAGTTGGATCAATCTCATTTGTCGCTTAGAGAGTTTTTGACAAAACAAAAGTGAATTGGTCAATTCACAGGGTTTCTATGCATCTTGATCATAAGAAATCTCATTGAGCTTCTGTCACTGACGATTTTAGGTCACACATGACTTTCCATCAAATATCCCAGTTTTAAAGGTACGAAGAAGTTCAAGGCTAATAACAGATATGAATAAACAAAAAAGTACTTACGTTGCGAGCTCACCGCCAAATCATTGAGCGACCCAGCTCTGACAGGAACGACTTCTTGCTGCTGCTGCTCTTGGGGATGGTAGCTCTTCGGCCTCACTCTCACGGACGCAACGCTTCCCCCTCCCGGCCCCACCGTGATCTGCAAACGGCTCTCCAACCCCTTCTGAGAGTCAAAACTGCTCGTCGAGTACGTCAAACTAGAATTCTGTGAAGTGATGTCAATGGGGTTCTGAGGGGTCGACGTGGGAGGCCTCAAAGTAAGGTTAACGCTGGTGAAGCTCCTCGGCGAAGTGGCGGGAGTTTGCAGCCAAGGCTGCGTGGGGGTTAGCTGCGCCAGAGAGGTGCGCCTCGGATGGGAGGGGCTTTGCACTAGGTCCAAGTTCACGTTCAGAGATAGGTTGAGGTTGGGGCTGCCTAGGAGAGTGTCAGTCGTTTGCGTGGGGGTGGAACACGTTTCTTTTTTCACTATGGGAGCGCGAGTATCGTCCTGCAAGCGTCTTTGAGCGTCGGGGGACACTAGGGGGGACTTCTCCACCTTGGTGGGGGAGTTTTTCGCGGCGAAGCGCTTCGCGCTCAGAGGGGATCGCGGGGGTTTTTCACTAAGGTCGGAACTGAGCAATTTGTGCACGTCTCTACATTTCTCGGACAGTTGGATATTGAACTTTCTTTTATCGTCACTGATCGCATCACAGTCAGACGTTATGTCAAGCTTGTTGGGTCTTTTAGCGATCGTCTTGGGAGGTTCTCGCGGGGTGGGATTGGGGACGCTTGGTTTTATCAAATTCCTGTTGATATCACTATCACTCTCGATCATTTCGACTCGGTTTCGTTCGTCGGACGTCGAGCTAAGGATTGCCGATTCCGAATGGGAGCCAATCAATTGCGCACTATCGTCTTGTGGATCGGGGATGAGCGCTTGATCTAGGGGAGGTGTTTCCAGTTGTTGTGAAAGCCGTCCCATCTGCTCAGAGTTGTTTTCGGCTAGGGCGGTTTCTAGGAGGTCGGCTATGTTCAGATCTTGGCCTTGGGAGTTCGACTGCAGGTAGGAGGTTATGCAAGTGGTGACTATGTGATCGGGGACGGTAGGGAATTGTAGTTTGACAATGACAAAAGACACGATTCACGCGTGATATGTCAAAAACAGTGTTGCCAAAAAGATACCAGCAAAAATATCACTCATTACATGACGTAAGTGTACCAAAGTACAACTTGTAATGTATGGTAAATTTGGGTAAAACCTAATATATAGCATATATAGACTCCACAGTCGTAGTATATACAATGTAAACCGATTGACAGCTACAAAGAATCTAGTATATCACTGCTCTCTAACTCTCTCTGATGGTTTTCGTTGGGTTAAGAGAAGATCCCCGTTTTTGGAGAGGTAATCAAAACGTCAGTTGAGGAAGCCCGACGCATTAATGAACCTGAAGATCTTAAACCTTTGTAGAATGCTTTCAAAAGAAGAAAGATTATGCCATGGTAATGCTAATTGTACTCGTCAATGGAAGTTTTCCCACTCTATCTTGAAAATGTCACGGATCATATTGGGAAAATTCTGGAGAAATATATTTTGGCCAACAAAACTCATCAGAATGGATGTAAGATCATCTAAAAATAATCAGAGAGATTTAGCAACACGGGGGTATACCGGATCGCTTATAGTTTCAGCAAAATTACTATCCAAGAATATATATGGAGGTGATAGAAATTCAAAACAGAGATAATTTCAAACCGAAAGAAGAGGGATTTAACATAAATTAAGGCTGGCAGTGTTGCAGGCAGTATTACAGTTTGGTACTTGACTTCTCTAATAGCGATGCTCATCGCTAATACGGACCGTTGCCTTAGACTGAAACCGTTGAACTAAAATGAGGTAATATCATCTCTATCTCGTAAACAAATACCAAATAGGAAAAAAGCGCATTATGTACCAAAGCTCTAACATAGATCCGTTTGCTGCTGAATTCTCGTAGACGACAATCTCCTGGAAGATTATCCTCCGTGACTAATACCAATATATTCGGAATACACCCGAAATGAATGATTCATATTGCCAATAATATATAATTATATTTATTTGTAAGAACTGTCAATGAGCTTGTCCTGCTATGTTCATATGCGAGGTTACTGTTGTCTCTAATCTCTAGTGTTGAGATATGCCTTGAGATGCTTATATACTCATGTTGGAAACACTGCACTTTTGTTTTAGGAAATCTAGTAGAGTCTTTAGGAGATATTTCTATTCATTTTAGTTATAAACTGATCTGTGATCTATACTTTCTTTGAACTAAATAAGTGAGGTTATATCAAAATAGCAAAATTTGTGTTTTGACTTAAAATTTGTCTAGTTCTAGATGTTTTGGTTAGTCGTAAGGACAGCCTTACGTTGGGTGTCGTTCATCTCTAGGGAAAAAAGGTTTTAACTGTTTTGAGTTACGATCGATGTCTCTTTGGGCGTGTCCACTTGGAAAATAATGACAATAATATTTCCTGTAGTCTATTTGCATCTTAATGTGTGTTATTATTAGTAACAAACTTCAAAGGAATTAAATGTCAGCTGAGAAACACAAAATCGCTTTAAATCGAAAATGGTGAAATTATTTTCTAAAGGAGGCATTAACTAAATTAGATGAAAGAGTTTCGGCGTGAGAAGAGAAAGATTTATTATCTGGACGAAACTTGGAAAAATGTGACAAAACAAAAACATTATAAAAAAATACAAGTTCACGTCGAACATTTCAGAAGGCTGGTCTACCGGAGTAAAGTTTTGCCCTCAGGAGAAGGAAAGCGAATAATAATCACCCACATTGAAACTGTTGATAGTTTTGTTGAGAGCGGTTTACTGATGTTTGAGTCAAAGCATTCTGGCGATTGTCATGAAGATATGAACGGCGATATGTTTGAAGAGTATTATGAGCAAATTTTAGACCTCATTTCGCCTAACTCTGTGATGGTGATGGATAATGCAAGTTGACAATCCAAAAAAGTTGAAAGAATACCAACTAATGCATCATTCAGTGGCAAAAAAACATACCAAGTATGGTTACAAAAGAACTCTTGTCCACAGTATGTTCAAATAAAGCTCATTTCAGGTAATATGTAGTCGACAAGATGGCACGGAGGCGAAATGTTATTTTGTTGCAAGAAGAAACACGACATTTGAAATGAATATGTCAGAATACCCTTCAATGAATCCTTGAAAAATGTCAATTCCAAAAAAAGGTATTAAACCTCTTATGAAACACGAGAACAACATGTGGATACTAGACCATTTGGTTGAGGAAGTTGTAAAACCTTTGATCATAACATTCGACGAAAATTCATTGGATTCAACTTAAGAACTGATCAAATAAGCATACCTATTTATTATTGAATAATTTCAAATAGTAAACATAGTTACTAGTTTCAACAAGTATTTATGATTGAATGCCCAAACGTATGCCACTGCAGGTAATAAAACGACCTGAAAGATCATAAAATATTTTGTTTGAGATCCGTTTGCGATACAAAAATATAAAACCACCTATAGTTTCTGTGGCAAATCATAACGAAATCACCAAATTTTGTTTAAGCACTCTAGTAGCGTTATTAGTTTATAATGAGCTAATGAAAAACAAAGTACCACTAACTAATTAGGTTTTATTAGGCAGGTAGTTGTCGACAGTCATCAAAACAGATTGAAAATTTTGGTATTCAAATCGATCACGTCATTCACGAAAGACCCATACTAGAACAAAAGGATCATACGACTCTCAATACTCAGAGGAGACAGCTGAAAAATTGCAAAGTAAGCCCTCATAGCATCAAATATTCACTGCATGTTTTTCTTCTGAAAAACTTCTCTGTGATTCATGACCGCGTTTGTTTATTTACAGTGTAAATTTTCCGGGTTGTATGAGTACGAATAAGCATAATTGGTTTCCCTCCAAGTCGAATGATTCTCAAATTCCACCTTAATTTAGTTTCGGAGCACGCGTATTTTTGCATATTTCCAAGAAGAATGCAAATACCCAATTCCTTCAAAGTAAACATAAACCTAACAAGTTGACTGATAAGATAACTCGGCTACTGTTGATTGTTTATGGAAGTTTGCTGTATTTCTCTATTCTCAATAAGGCGTGTTGAGGAACGGGAAAAACCTGTTGAGTTCGGTTCTAGGAAATTCTCAAGGCTGTCGAGTAACCTTAAAGTCGCAATTATTCAGTAGCACGATTTTTTTTTCTTCTCTTCCTAGTCTTTCGTGTCTGAACATTCGATAAGAAAATTGAATGAAATTTATTTGTACAAGTATTTTATATACTTATGGATTGTTAATGTTAATGTTTTTTTTTTCATTTCACCACTATGTGTTCCTTCGGCACGTCAGTTTCAGTATCGGGAAAAAGGGAGAAATTGAGAACTAGAATTTCTTGCAAATATCAGTTCTCAAAGCTATTTATATATTTGAAGATTCCCAGTATTATGGAATCCCCTATATAATACCTGCCCGTTTGTTCAAACAAATTCATTTCATCATTATGTAATTATCTTCAATTCAATCGAACCTCATTTTGGCTCTAGGACTCTATTTCTTACTTTGATACACGATAATGCACTTGCTTACTCGTCTTTGCTTGTTCGCTTGTTTTTGGCCAAAAACAACACCGTAATCATGCTTCATCCACCGTATGCACCATTCTTGGCCACCTGGGACTTTTTTCTGTCAAGATGCTACTTTGAAGCGGACAAAATAGAAATTGATGAATATATATTTTTTGAGAAAAATGAAAATTTACCCTATTGCCCTGGAGTAAAATCTTCCCCCCACAAAATAAATTTCATGAGGAAAACTCAATACACCACTCCATCCACCCCCGCTCTCCGAGCGGTCCTCAATCCTACTGATGGACACTTCAGCAAGATTGGCATCTGATCTTTCTTCGGTCGAAAGTCAGCCTTTAGGTGCTTATACTTTCTAATCGGTTGAATTCTTCAATCATGACTTTCCTAACTGAATTTTTGCATGGGGTCCCCCAAAAACTAACCGGAGACAAGCGTCTTTTTTATCGCGCGCGTATGTCAATGTTTCCTGGATTATCTGAAAGTGAACTGAATTAGTATCTGGCTGAGAAATGTTTATACTTACCTTGTCACCAAATAATGTCAACTATTACCAGCAATGGTCTGCAGGTTTTTATAATTGACATTGCGTCTACCACTCTGGGTGAAATTACCAATGAAAATGCGGCAGTGGCCCGCCCGTAACTGGCGTTACTTTGGCGTTATCTTTCTTGAATTATATTAAGCGTTCTGTGGATGTTCCATCTTCACAGGTTTTCATTAATATCAATGTAGCGCAGCCAGCAATACTTTTGGTTTCACCTCCGCTTGCTGTGTAGCGCAGCCAGCAAATTTGTTCATGAAAAAGTATGCTATAACACCACTTGAGTTATCGGGCTGCTCATTACGGTGCCGTTCCTTGATCGTGGACCGTTGAAATTGAAATACGTTGCTGTTGAACAACCAATGAACACGTCTGCTGAAAATACTTCTCCGATCATATGCATCATATGCATAGTGTCTTTGACCGAAACCATCGTAAACAAGAAAATCTCATTGACGCCCACTAGTATATTCCCTGGAGTCAACCTCATATCTCTAATCTTCTTACTAAAATGTCCCGAGACTTGTTTAGCCGGTGAAAGGCTGCGTTAGAGTTGTCAAATAGCTGGCCAGCTCTCAAGTCGGAGAACTTTTTGTATTCACGATAGGACATCGCGGCACATTTTCTCTGTGGATTTTTGGTAAGCCATACAAACTAATAAGGCTCCACAATAGGAGATAGCGGAAAATAGGTGTGTAATATGACGAGTATACTGAAATAGTATGTGATAATTCGACTTCTGGATTGCCGGATCTCCGAAAGTGCCACGTTTTGTCTTCTGATTCGTGATCAACAGACAAAACTACGTATGTAAGTAGAAGTTGTTTATGGAAACAGCGCGAGTTTTGTATCCCAATGATTACCAAAACACGCTAAGCTTACTAGTAACTGCAAATTCTGACGTCGTGAGAACACAAGACAAAACGAGACAAGCGAATGCCTTCTCTCTTCGAGAGAAGCAGTAT